ACGATAAATATTGAATAATTTGTATATAACAATTTTAGATGAAAATATTCTTGTATCATACTTTTTAGAGCGATTTTTCAGTAGTCAGGTTTTAGTTTTTAAACTTATTTTTATAAACCTTATCAGTAAGAAGCAAACTCATGTCTATCGAAGATACAAACTGATGACCTCACCTGAAAGCAGGTGATAAAAAACTAATACAAAAATATAAATAAAAAAAATAGACTGCATATTTATCACTTAAAAGTCACAGTGCAAGTACAAATAAATAAAGCGGCATTTCATAACAATGTTTTTGTGTTCATCTGAAAATATAAAAAAATCTCCTATCCATTTTAATTATACTTATTCTAGAAATCGTTTCAAAGTTACAGAATAATAAGTGACTGCGTATTAGCAATATGATTTTGTTATCACACATGTAATATGACTGTGCAAATATTACTTAAACAAATGTTGTTATTTATATTAGAGTAAGATGGAATGCTTATAATACAATGTAACCTCAATTGCTTATTAAAAACGTCTCGCTTGGAAATTTCCTTTACACTGTTTCTAGATAGGCATTTGAAAGATAAGGTAGGCTAATCAAAAATCATTGTACTATTTTTAGTTTGCAGCGTTATATACATTTTATCGTTATAATAACTGTTATTTAAGAAGAATATGTATTACTAGCGATTCACCCTCGGTTCGCTCGGGTTCGCCCCTAGGGGATGTATACAACTTCCCTGTTTGAATCGATATAATTTATTTTTTTATTGGTTTTAATTTTATTTCGTGGGGCCCTATTTTTTTCTTCTAAAATAAAAGTAGCCTTCGTTACTCCTTATTACATCAGCTATCTGCCAGTGAAAGTCCCGTCAAAATCGGTTCAGCCATTTCAGAGTTTAGCCGGAACAAACAGACAGACAAAAATGTAAAAAATGTTGTTTTGGTATATGTGCCGTGTTTACATTCATATGCATTTAGTAAAAGGCGGTTATTTTTAAATTACAAACAGACACTTCAATTTTATTTATCTGTATAGATGTACAACATTGATCTACATTTAATTATAAAAAATATATATTTTAGTGCGTATATAAGATTTTATTTATTGGAAGTGATTTTATTAAATGAATATTGTATTTTGATACCTGTTTTGGTGTTAAAGACATAAAACTTTCGGGAAAGCGTCTTTACTCTTTAAGCTTTAGCGTTCCTTCGAAGGTGTATAGTGTAACGGTGTCGTTTAACGGTAAAATGAATTTGCCATTCAATGGGATCACATGCGATAACAAAACACCGAATATAAAATGTGTCCTTTGTATCGCTAGGCGTATAGTACTATATGTATATACTCGCTTACTAAGTCATTGTACCTACGTGCTCGGTGCAATAAAATCAACTACTACCTATAGGCATCGATTCAATGCCACATAAATTCAAACTTTTCGATATATAATTATAATTAAGGACATTCTCTTATGTATATAAAATACATTTAATGACGTAGATCGATGCAAATTGCGATAGTTTTAAAAATAATATAAGATTTCTTTAATACCTTTAGTAATCAACTTTTACTTAAAAGGTAGGAATAGGTAAGGATTCACAATTGGCGAGGATATTGCGCAATATAGAAAAAATATCGCCGAAGTCCTCGTTTCCTCTCTTTAATCTCTTCAAGGTTACTATAGCGTTTTGTAAGATTCACTCAATGTGTCTAAGATGTATATATTATTAAAATATATCTATACATATAATAAAATTGTAACTAAGCCGAATCTGTACATTCAATATTTTTGGAAAATCTTATTGAAATAAACATTAGTATCGATACAGAGGCCGAATCTATAGTTTTTAGAATTTTTGTCTGTCTGTCTGTTACCGCATCACAGAAAAAACACTGGAGGGATTTTGATGAAATTTGGTATGGTGATAGCTGGTTATCCGGGTCAACATATAGGATACTTTTTACCGCGGAAAAATGTCTCATTTCTGAGAAAAAATACAAAACTGCAATGTAAGAGTATACTAATATGTAAAACATAAGAATTTTGTTTTTGGTCATCTGAACGCGGGCGGGGCCGCGGGCAATGCTATTACATTATAATTTAAAGGAAACAGCTGTTTAAAAAATGTTCAAAATTTCAAATTATTTTTTTTATAATTGCAAAAGTCTTATTTAAAAAATAAAAACGCAAACTTATACTTTCCTAAGAAAATATTGTTACTATTATTATTAAAATACTATAATTATTTCTGTGAATTGAACTTATTTATTATTTAGTCAGCAGTTTTTGTATTAACATCTAACTTATGTGAATTAGGCAATCATGCATACTTATACAGCCTAAGCATTTTGTTCGTCAATGGTAACTCAAATTACCTATTATACAAACATATATTACGAAATGGCAAAAGTAAATGCTATTAAAATTTTACGATATAACTGTATTAAAAATTCAAAAATTATTTATTATAATAATTTAATTAATAAAAGTGTAACAAATCCCATTTTTATAAAAAAAAAATGACAATTGCATTTTTCAATATCTGAATTACGTGAACACGTGTCATGATACATAAGTACCATTCATTCACCTTACGAGATCACATAATACTATCTCTCTCTTTCGTTATAGAAATAGTAGTTGTAAAAACGTGACGCACGATGATAATAATTATTTAAGCATACATATAACGACGTAATTTGTGTGTATAGAATTATAAGCACTATTATGTAAGCAGTATTTACTAGAATCTTTTAACAGAGTTATGGCGCTTGAGTGAGTATTGTGTGCGTAAACATTAATCAATGCCACGGATACCTTTGAAGGTCACCAAGTATCAAGCCTAAAGATGGTTATAATTATATACTTATATACTCATATTATGTTACAAATATAACAATACTCGGTTTGAAGCGGAATGCTTATGATCTAGAAAATTTCTTTCGGTGAAGAAGTGAATGGGAACAACTTATTTATTTCTTATAGGTTCTAACGGACGCGTTTTTTCCTACGTCGTGTATAATTTGTAAACATCATACGGCGATTTCAACGTCGTTTCAATGTCCATTGCTGGCCTATACAGATCAAATTTCAACTTGGCTTTACTAAAGCAGCGAGTGGCGCGCATAAAGTAGTTACGTTGATATCGCTGGCTTGGATTGAGTGTGTAATAGTGTTTTTATTATCATTTATATCGGTCGTGTCGCAGCTTAGATTGAGATTTAAACGTATGCCACTGCGCAGTTTGACCAAATTTGAAATCGCTACTAAGAAAAAAAACACCTAAAAAATTTTTTGCTTTTAATCTTCCTGTTTGAACTTGACTGATGCTAATTAAATTAACTGGCTTTTTGTAACTTATTCATACTAATAGTATATTGATGAAACGGATGGGTACTTTATATCTCTGTTTCTTCGCTGTTAATTTCGCACTCTTCCAATTACAACTACTGTGATATATTATGTACTGCTAGAAGTCTATCAGAACTTAGAAAGAACAAATAGTCAACAAATACTGTTATTAGCTGCAAGATGAAAATATTACTCGTGCAGCATTCGGCATACCAGCCTAGCTTTATAAAAAAATTACTATAAAATTATTTATTTTTATACACTACAATAGTTGGCAACTTCGAAGACGGAAATCACTGATGGCTTGTGTTCGATCGTTGATAATAAGCCAGAGCTTTTATTAATTATTATTGGCGCGAGTAAGCAGTTTTTCAATAAATTGAGTGAGAAAAGTCTTTGTTTATACCTAGTACTTATATATTTTGGTTTATTAATCTACTTTACTTTTAATTTATCTATTACTTTCTTAGTATTTCGTAATATTTTATTTACTTTGAAACATGTAAAATTTAATACAATTTTGTATTTTATAGTAGACACTAGCATTGCCCGCGGCTCCGCCCGCGTTCAGATGACCAAAAGCCAAATTCTTAGATTTTACATATTAGTATACTCTTACAATGCAGTTTTTGTATTTTACTCAGAAATCAGATATTTTCCCGCGGTAAAAAGTGTCCTATATGTTAACCCGGATAATCAGCTATCATTATAGCAAATTTCATCAAAATCGGTCCAGTGGTTTTCTCGTGATGCGGAAACAGACAGACAGACAGACAGACAGACAGACAAAAATTCTAAAAACTATAGATTCGGACTCTGTATCGGTAATAATGTCTATTTCAATTAGATTTCCCAAAAAATATTTAATGTACAGATTCGACTTAGAATTTTATTATATATGTATAGATTACATATAATTCAATTTTAAATAATTTATCGAATATATACTCGTATGTTACATATAAATTTCGTTATTTTAGTAGGAAAATGCTACATAAATATATATAATTTATTATATGTTTTAAATTACTTATTGCAAAGATACTTATGAGGTATATACGTATTTGTATGTATTTAATATAAATAAGGACTACATTATTAGTGACAAAAATTGATTTTTTTTATCAGTCAGTCAGTTACGTTAATTGTTATTGAAGGTGTTTATTACTGTAAGAAAATAACATCCAGGCAGGTGACGCCCTAGGTTACAGCTAGCTAAGTTTAACATAAAATGTATTTGGAGATTCATAAATTTAATTTTAATTTATGCATGACATTGGTTTACTTTGTTAAAATATCGCAGAATTCTTAAGTTTTCTATGCGTTGTGCCGATCTTAATAAAATTGGAAAAAATGTGGAAAGACTTTAAAACATTGAAGTGCATTATATTCGATTCAGGAGAATCAATGGCCCACGGCCAAGACATTTAACAATACCTTTAAAAGTTTTCAACCAGTTTTCTCGTCTCGTTAGTAAGACAACGATATTTTGATACTACCTGATGGCTTTGGAAGTTCTTTACATTTATGTCGAATTTTTAATGTAATTAAAAAAATATATAAATGCCAATTATTACCAGTGTGTACCTACTTGAAAGAAAACCATGATTTTATCTAACAATTGTGCTAAGGTCTATCTTATTAACTCACCTTCCATCCAGCAGACGAATTGCTGTCTCCTTTGTCCTTAAAGTATGGCACGTTCTGAACCATCCATTCATAAATCTGTGACAGAGTTAGTCTCTTTTCTTGCGAGGAGGTTATAGCTTGAGTAATAAGATCAGCGTAGGAAAGATTGCCCCAGGCGTTACGCCGGGATGAGTTTTTTTTCGTGGTTGCTGAAGTAGGCAAAGGTGGAGCACCTGTAACCAAAAATACATTAACTAAATATATGTTTTTTCAATAATTCACACTTCCTACATTTAATTAGTATCTACTAGTTTCCCATCATATTCGTTTCTTTATAGTGGCTTTTACCATAAGAGGCTTAGACCAGAAATGACTTTTATCGTTATGTCATAGGATAAATAATGTCATTCCCATATATTTCTTAAGATTTCTATTCTACAATGAGACCCTGGAAAGGACATAGGATACTTTCATCCCGGAAATCATCCCTTATGGGGGTGAAGTTTGTATGGGGAATCAACCTAGGGACGAACCCGAGCGAAGCAAGGGTGAGTCGCTAGTTAATAATAAGTCAGTCATTCAAGTCTTTCATTTATATTAAAAACTTATACTTATCAATAAGAATTTACATTACACTTTTTAACAATATATTTTATATTATTATAAATTTATGCACTAGAGGCTCACCCTCGCTTCGCTCGGGTTCACTTCTAGGAAGAGAAAACCAAACCTATCCCACGGAAACCGTATAATTTTTTCGAGATAAAAAGTAGCCTATTTGTTATTCCAGACTATAATCTATCTCTGTGACAAATTTCATCCAGATCCGTTCAGCCGTTCTGGCTTGAAAGAGTAACAAACATCCATACATACTCACAAACTTTCACATTTATAATATTATAATGATACGGATATGTGTGTCCAGAAAAAATATCCAAAAAAGTATTAGTTTTAAGAATATATTATAGTATCTTATTATTTGTTGGTTAGGTCAGTTATAGTCCGGTCAACCTGTTCTAATCCATAATTACTTGAAACAAAAAATAACACTTATATACCTACATAGAAACTAGAGGTCTCAGAACAGGAGCTGGCAGAATTGTTATGTCAATGTTTATAAACACTTGTTTCGTTTGCATTTTTATCAAATAACCTTTAAATGTCATACATATTTAAGTCCAAATCATATAACTCACATGAGCGATCTATTAAATTTGAAATAAATAATATTATATATAATAGGTAAAGGTATAAATATTTTGTAAAATCAAATTTAACTTAATTTAACATTTAATTAGCCAATGCATATTTTACAAGGTAGGAAGTATCATGTCCTTATAAGCAATCATATCAGCTTTTTTTATCAAAGTTTGTAGATTGGAAAAAAAAATTCCATGAAGTAATATTTTGTCTAGGACGAAATTACGATAGCAATACACGAGAGATCATTATAAAGGTATTCGATTCAAAACAATACAACCATTTCGATATATTTAATGCAGAATCTTTATTTTTATTTCTTACCTATCTTTTGGCTTGCATGTTTATGTTGTTTTTTACCATTGTACTACGAGTTTAAAAATCATAACAAACGTAAACTTTTATACTGAGATCGTATCTTATAGTTAAATAATAATTACCAGATAGATTCTGATTGGAATTTTTCTTCGAGCCAGGGTCTTCAGGGTCGACATAGTTTTCCGGTCTAGGTTGTGGCCACGTGTTCGATCGAGCACGGGTCTGTGGTTCGAAGCCAACCTCGGTCAATTCTCCTACAGGCTCGAACTCTCCCATTGCTCCTTCTAACTCTGAAAGAGCCGTCTGCGACGACCACGGGCTCTGGTAACTACCTCTAGGCAAAGACATTTTATTTGGCGATATCACTCAACCGTGGAATTTTTTGGTGGGTGTGTCGTACGCCGCATTTACCGGCGCAAATTTATTTGGGTTTCTATCATTACAGTCCACGGGGTTAACTGGTTTTTTAACAATTTTTTTCTATTTCCAGAATATGATCAGACCCAGTCCGCGATCCGCAAAGGTTATCTAACTTCTTATCGCCCTGTTACACGAAGCCGATAACATGTGGCGTCGTGCTAACGTTCATAAACAGAGATGAGCGTTTACGTATCTGCCGTCGGGCCGCTCCCTAGAGGCGATTTTCGCTAAATATAAGCGCGGTGCGAGGCGGGGGCGGGGCGTGCACCACGTGAGCGACTACGCGCCGATTTTCCAATTCATCTCTGGTGGGCTCTAGCCGCGTTAACCTTGTAACGTGTCTAAAAATCGTATCAGTCCGTATGTATATCACAAGCACAAATAGTCATAGGTTTCGAATTTACAAACACAAAGGTCGAGAGTTTTTAGAGTCCGTCCGCGGTCGGTGGAAACTTTTTCGCGTCGATAAGTGTTATCACTGAGTATTGCACTTTAGTTTTCGTGAAAAGGGCACGATTGAAGGCAAATATGGCTTTGCGGTTCGACCCGAAAAATCCCACGCGGTTGTCGAGACTCGTAACTGCGTAATAAGTGCGGTCCGCGTCGAACAACGATTCGACTTCGGACGCGAACGGTCGCTAGTACACTGAGTGAGTAGTGTCGACGTCGCGGCCGTGCAAATTCCGTTGGCGGGCGGAGGGACGGAGGAGGGCGCTGATAGAGAAGTGGCATCGCGTCGTGTGACCGGGTCGCCATCTCGGCCGCACTTGCTTCTCCATACTAACGAAGTGATAATTCGCCAACTACTATTACGTGGTATTTAATACCATGTTTTAATTATATATTTTTTGAGATGTTTAATTTTCATTTCTGGACAAAATGTTAAGTTGGCTGTTGTCTAGAGACCGGGTAGGTTACCTATTATTTTGCAGTGAGTGGGAAAGCGATCCTGCACGCCCCATTGCACTGCGGCGAAGGGTTCCGCTGTGGGTTTTAGTGAGTAGGAGTCTCACAGTACCCTGCCCATGACGGCGGCAGGGTCCCCATGATGGGTTTCCCCAGCGAAAACAAAAAAAAAAGGTTACCTATTATTTACTATTTATCAATGCAACAATTATATTTTATTCTGCTATTCTTTTTACAAAGTTAGTAACTTTTTGTATAGTAGATTTTTCCTTCACCGCAAGGCTAGATGAGATATACCATATCATTATTTAACTCTCTGTGGTTACATCTAATTGTAATATCATCCTTGTGTAACAACATAGTCACTGAAGCTTTAGCTGTGGTTTTAACACTTAGCAACTGCTACTAGAAGAAGAACAAGTAGTAGTAAGTAAAGGCCGTTTCGTTGGTCGTCGAAGAACACCATGGTGGTATCTTCCATACCTTCTTTGTAGATGGTCGAAGAGTGAACGCTGAGGGCAATACCCTACTTTTACCCTTGTTGTAAACAGGAAGAAAGACGACTTCATTAGAAAAATAACCATAATCCCACAAACATGCTGTCGGAATGTATCATTGGGGCCACACCGTTTTTCCCCCAGCAGGTTCTACAAAACCATAGTTTTTTTAAGTATTAGTACCTCCCTTTATTGTAATACTGTATACAAATATAAAAAAAAAACATGAGAAATCAAGATTAAGAACGATAAGTAATGTGCATCTATCTATTAGGTACGATATATATATATATATATATATATATATATATATATATATATATATATAATATATATATATATATATATATATATATGTATTCAGTTTGACAGGTATTTAGAAATATTATGGATTGATGACAATTGAGTTATTTAAAATCTGCTATTTTTGAATTGTGATCAAGCTTTAATTTTTCATCTTAATGCGCACAGCCAAGATGTGGAATGCGCTGCCTGCGTCTGTTTTTCCGAGTGCGTATAACCTGAACCTATTTAAACACCGACAAAATTTCGACAGAGATGGATTATAATTTTTTTGATATTCAGATTGTATTAGATTCTATGGAATGATTAATATTGCTGCAGTCTATGGAACTAAGTAATTCCTATTAGTTTGATCTTTAAAATATAAAAATGCAATTTTTTTCTACAGATTTTATGTTAAAGAAAACAAGAAACTTCCGTGAATTTTCGCGCTTTATCCGTTTATATGATGGATAGATAATAGTAATTAGAAAAATTGTTTAAAGCTTAAACTACACTAGAACCTTTTCTTTACTATCCTATAAGGGTAGCGCCCTATAAGTAGGGTAAAACCCGGACTACACTATGTTAGAGATGTCCCTGGCGTTAGCGCTCTAGAAAAGGGTAGCCGCCGCATATACTTTTGCGGATAGTCACTCTAAGAACAAGTAATGATTTCATGTTGCAGGCAAGCGAAATGCCTCACAAAAATAAGCGATAGCTTAGCATTTCTAAAAAGGCTAAACAATGTGCACAAGATTTAAATTCCAAAGAAAAAAATTTCCAAAAGAAGAATGAAGAAGAAGAAACAAATATTACAAAAGGAACTGAAGTTGAAACAATGAAATAAAAAGATTTTAAGTTAGTAGGAAATAAATCAACTAAACAAAAACGAGACGAAAATTACGAATAATTATGAATAAAAAATTTAAAACCCCTTACGCAATTTATTTGTCATTTTATGATTACACTGGCACACGTGAAGCACTTAATCGAGTAATCATACGCCAAAATGCCTTACATCATTTTGGAAAGGAGCTGATACTCTTACACTGCTGCACCGATATTAACCAAACATAGCTGAGAACTACTGCAAGGAAACTGGCTTTCAAATGAAAAAACCGCATAAAATCGGTTCATCTGTTTGAGAGCTACGATGCCACAGACAGACACATACACACACACACAGACAGACATCGACGTCAAACTTATAAAACCCCTCTTGGTTTAAAAAAAGAGGACAGTCGAAAGTAAAATAAAAGATCAAACAATATATCGATATCTCTAGCAGTGAAACAGAATTTGAAAACTTAGATTTAATTAAACTGAACGAAGAAAGAGATTTAAGGAAGAGACAAAAGCAATTTAAAGTTCTGAGAGAGAAAACGAAGAACGCATTATAATATGTAAATACTAGCAGAACTAGCAGCTTCGCTCGCGCGAAAACTACAACTAAAAAGTAAACTCTAAAAAGTGAGTTTCATAAAAACTTTCAGCCCTTAGTTTACCCTCTTTGGGGTTGAACTTTAGAAAACGCTGAAATGCAACGTGTGCAAAATTTCAATTTTCTAGCCTTAAGGGTTTGGCCTGTGCGTTGATACATAAGTCAATCACTTTTGCCTTTTATATATACAGATTAAATACAAAAATATCCAAAGAAAAAGATTCAAACAATAATAGAAAAATAGAATGATAAAGTTTCAGTTGATGATTATTGTGAATGTTTTGAAAATTAAAATAATCTAAAACAGACCACAAACTAAATTCAAATTAGACTAGATAGTATGCGCTGCCGAATATTATTGATATTTGCCGAATGTGTTTCTGTGAAACTTGTTCATCATTCAAAGAATATTGTATAAGGTGTGGAAAATTGAAAATTCTGGCTTCGTAACTGATGATGATTTTTAAAACTTTTCTTATTCATACATCATCTCCACCTACCTACTAGTTTTAATATTGGTGCTAAAATCTATTTCCATATAGTTTTTTTATTTTTAAAGTTAATTATTACTCACAACTTACATTTTGTAGTTTTAATTTGTATTTTAAAGATTTAACAAGTGTTTATTATTTTTTTATTTCGACTATCCTATACATAAGCAGTAACTTGATATGAATGAAAGAACAATGACTGTAACGTATTTGTACAATATATACACCCCAAAACAATAGTTATTAAAAAAAATCTCTGTTTGCCTGTATGACTGTTTGTGTGTTCACGTTTCGCGCATAAAGTACTGGAACGATTTTGATCAAAATTTGTGTAGTGATAATTTATTACTAGTTTCAACATTTAGGATATTTTTTTACTACAGGAATATCTTTCATTTCCACGAAAATGTAGGTCTTAAAAAGGCCTACAAAAAAGTCCGCAATAACACATGTCTATCTCCTAAGGTACACTCATATCTCTTTAAAACATACCTAGGGACGCATTTGAGCGAAGTAAGGGTAAGTCTAGTACGTAATAAAATGATGCCAATAATTAATAAAGATTGATTAAATTTGCATAAATGTTTTAATATAAACAAAATTGAAAATAAAGTCATAGTGAGTCTTCTATCCCCGCATGAAAGTATCTCCCAAAGCATTTATATCGTGATGCAAGTATTCGCCACAGCAGACAACCATCCCTGTTCTTAGAGGTTAAACATCACAATTTCACGGGTTACAATTTTTTTTGCGTGAAATCCTGATTCTGTTCCTTAAATAAAAGCAGCGTAAGTTACTCCTTATAATATCAGTTATCTGCCAGTAAAAGTCCCGTCAAAATCGGGTCAGCCGTTGTTTAGATTAGCTGGAACAAAACAGATTGATAGACAGACCGACGGACAAAAAAATGCGTCTAAGGTTTTTTAGCTTGTTGAATAGGTTCACAATGAGCTGTTTATGAGTGGACCTATGGCGGATTATTTATTACAACTTTCAACCTCTGAGTTCTAACACAAAAATAATTACAGAGAAGGTGATGTCAAGCATCTTACACTTGTTATTTAGTATCATTAGCTTCTTCTTCACAACAATGCTCGTTCACGCTCCGGACACAACTGAATTAGACGGATTTAGCAGATTTTATTTAAAATGTCAAATTTTCGCGTAAATCTAAGAAAGTGTTATGAATCAGACGGTCTCTAAATTAGAGAAGCTTCTAGAGAAAACCACCACCATCATTCACCACCACCGTTGCGACCTTGTTGTTACTACTATTTTTTTACAGGATTTCCCCTGTTCCTCACTGTT